AAGTAATTGAATTATATCATTTAGTTTGTTTTGTATCGATTTATAGTTTTACTTTTTGTAAAAGACAAAATATTTTGTTGTGTTTCATAACATGTCTTAGTAATCGAATTGAGAGAATATATGTATAGGGCATAATGATATGATAGCATATTAAATATCGACTCTATAATCCTTTTCCATGTATAATAGAAGGTCTTCTTGGAGGAAAGATGTGCCAGATGTTATAGAAGACTGAAATCAATATTTATTTTGGACTTTTAAAATCCTGAAAGTCTCTTTCCAAAATGAAAATAATTTAAGACGTAATAGAAGCCTCTGGAAAAACTTTGTACGCGTGGACATAAGACTTTGAATCTCGTTTTGCCGGGAGGACGAATTACTTTAACTCAATAAGTAATCTAAAATTTCTACTCACTAAAAATAAAATTTTTGTATAAAAAAAATAATGAAAGAATTACATTAATTGATTTGATTATAAGATTAGTTCTTAAATTGATGACTTTAAATAACATTTATGGATTTAAAAGATATCAAAATAAACAAGTTAGTTATTTTCTAAAAGAAAAAAAAATGTCTTTATGGCATACAATTCCTTTGCATTAAAAACAAATACTTATTATCAATCAGTAAAATATCTCTAATGTGAGCACCATCAGGACCGGCTAACAACATTCAGCTTACAGAGATGTTCATTGTTGGAAGGTTTGCAGTTGCTTTTTTACTATCGCTTGTCGACTGTGCAAGATGATCTTTGTTTCTCCTTTCCAACGATTTATTAATTCAACTATTTTGACTAGTGGTAAATCAGCACTTGTTGACATGATTTGATGTCACTAGTTGTTCAGAAAAGAACGACGAGATGGTACACCAAGCACTACGACTTTTCTCTAATCTCTTTTTAATATGAGCGATTATTATAACGTAATACATATAAAATTGATTTTTCTCGTCTTGCGTGTGAATGATAGGACATATGTTGCCCACAATAGAAAGGTTACTATTACTTCTGGGACTAGAAATTAAGTGCCCACTGTTTAGACTAATGAAGTGTTCATATTTGAATGGCGCATCCCTAGCGAAATTCACTCGGGCGGACTACAGACTGCCCAGTATAACACGATGCTCACATAAACAGATTTAATTGTAATATGAAGTAATCCGATAAAAATCATCACTAATATCTTTTTTGAAGGCATATTATTTCTACTCGAGCAATTTTCGGCACGATAACTCATGACATATTTTCAATATTTAAACAAGATAAAAATCTTTTCAGATCACTAACCAAATCTAAGATCAATTAATTATGAGTTTAAAATTTTACTTAATCTCAATACTATCTTCTAGAACATCGATGACATCGAGTGAATTACAACAATGTTATAATCTTCAAACACATATGGAAGCATATGAAACAAGTGAAATAAAATTTTGGCCTATAGATAAAATATCTGATCTTTTAAATTCTTCTCAAACACTTCTTTCAATTACACCAGCTTGTCATGTTGCATTAACAACATATTTACGTTTATTTTTTTAGATGTATCATTTAAGTACACAATATAATAAATGGTTATTTACTGTTGAAGAATTAAAAGAATTACGTACAAAAGCTAATAATGATTATGTTCAAAAAAAAGTAAGAGAAAACAAATAAATAAATAAATAAAAGAATTATTTATTTATAAAATAGAATTCTATGAATTGCTTAACAGTTGATGAAGAAGCTATGGTTTTACGTTATTATGAATTACAATTAAAAGATTTTTGTGACAAATTTGAACCACCTATGACAAAAATGGCTATTGTATATATCGAAGAATTTTTGTTTATAGACAAAAAAAAATTATTTATTATTATTTTTTTTTATAGGCTGTTTGTATGCAATATTTTAAACGGTTTTATTTAAATAATTCTGTTATGGATTATCATCCAAAAGATATATAGTAAATAATAATCTTTGAAATAAATTGAACAAAAAAAAAAATTTTGTTTTTCTATTAATTTTTTGTTTTAGTTTAATATGTGTTTATTTAACATGTAAAACAGAAGAATTAAGAATATCAATAACAGATTTTCTTAGTAATATTAAAAATAGTACTAATATTGATCAAACAGCTGATATTCTTTTATCATATGAATTATTACTTATTGAAAAACTTAATTTTCAACTTGTTATACATACGGCATATAGACCATTTGAAGGACTTATTATTGATTTAAAGGTAAGAATGAGATGAAAAATGACAAATTAAGATTGAATTTTTACGTAAATAGATGAAGACCAATTTTTATTTTGAAATTACAAATGAGAATCGATGTCTGTTCAAATTAATTGACATATCTTTTAAACTATTTCGTGGAATATGAGTGATCTTCGGAAACTAAGTCTTTCGCAAAGGAAACATTCTTTTGAATTGAAATTTTCAATGAATTCTAGTCAGAATTAGATCTCTATAGGCAAAATTTCAGATTGAAATAATATTATTCGATTGGTTGATACTCATCGCACAATAGGCTAAAGTTCCAGTAAAGCGATCTTAGTCCGTAAGGAAAGATCTAAAGACACTTATTCTTTTGGAAATTTTCATACCTTCTAGAATCTCTTTTATAAATAGAGTCCGAACTTGAAGAATGATTTATCAATTGAAACAGTTCACTAGTTAGAGGTTACAATTAGAAGTAAATGTTTATCTATGTTATTACTATTGTTAACAAAACATCTATTGTATTCATCGAATATAGAGTTCGAATTTATGATCTCATTTCATTAATTTAATTCATTCATATGTTTTTACTTTGTCTATATATTTAGACTCATTATTTACGTGATAATGTCAATGATGCTGATCGATTACGTTTAACTGGTTATGAATTTCTTGATAAAACATTATTAACAGACGTCTATTTTCTTTTTCCTCCATCACAAGTAAAACATTAACTTTCTTAAAAATAGAAAAAAAAAACGAATTCATTTCTTTATTTAGATTGCTCTTACAGCACTTTTATTTGCTTCAGTAAAAGCAGCTGTTCATATAGATGAATATATTCTTAAACATATATATGGTTCATTAGAATCAGCTCAAATGCAAAAAATAAAAGAAACTATACGATGTAAATTTTAAATTTAATTAAAAGAAAAACAAAAAAGAAATTTTTTTTCTTTTTCTTTAGTAATTGCAAATGTTGTTAGTACACCAGCTAAATTTAAAAAAAGTGAAGTTAAACAAATAGTTGAAAAATTAGATAAATGTTATAATATGGATAATGATCCGCGTTCAGATGAATATAAAAAGAAACGTCTTGAACAATTTCAAACTTTAACTGATTATGAAGCAAGAAATTTAGTAAATATTTAATTGATTTTTTTGTTTCTTTTGATTTAATATTTTTTCTTTTCTTTTTTTTTTAGCCTTAATATTTTTTGTTGTATTTTTTGTTTCTTATATTTGTTCAATAAAGAAAAATATTCATATTTTCTTTTTCTTTGCATTCTTATATCGAATACATCTATTCGATAAATTTAATTAAGATTCAGAAAATATATCAAAATATACTTTTGTGATAATAACATTAAATGAGTTTATTATCATACAAAATATCATTAAATATAGAAAACAATTCAATAGCCTACCGGGTTAAATCTGGGCTCACGTCCGAAAATTTTGAACTCGACAAGCTTTAGTGGTTTCTGTTACGTACAGATTCTTATTATCGAAATAATAGTTGTTAAAAATCTCTTGGCAAAAGCTGAAATATAAAAAACATATGAAGATTTCATTGTTATTAATGAGTAATGTTCAATAAATTGAATATCTAGAAATAAATGTATTAAAATAATCTCAAATTTTATTTATACAAAAAAAAAATAATTTTCAAATTTCGAAAAATCTTTTTCTTTTTTTTCTACGCTCGCTTTTTCTATTAAGTTTTGCCGATAGAAAATCGTCAAATATTACTATGTTGTTTGTTTCCCTTAAAGTAAACATATGAATCATTAGCTATATTTATACATCATTATTACAATCTACTTTTATATTCTATATTCTTAAATTTTTAAAATTTCTTCAATTATCATTCATGAGTTCATCTTGAGTGTAAATAGGGTCATAGCTCGTACAGGATGACTGTCATTTTATGAATCATAAGAATGACTCAACTATGAATTATCTCTAATTTATATCAACAAGCTCAAAGAGAATTATTCATACTCTCAATTCATTTTAAATGTAACAATATTCAGAATTTCGAGAAAGAATAGTGCTAGGACTTTTTGTCATGGACGAATCTTGAATGTGGATGTAGATGGTTTCTGCGTTAACACCCATACCTAGGAAAGATATTGTAACACTTTGTACATGCAACGATATGTTCGCGATCAATCGTTCCTAACGATTTATCCTATGACGTAAAGTTCGGTTACTGAAAATAATACCATGTTTGCATCGAACAATACACTAAATAGAAGTATCAAAAGTATAGATAGTCATTGATTGATTTTTAGTTTGTATTGAATTGTGATCACAAAATATGCTCATTCGAATCATTTTCATAAACTATCTTCAATATCTTAGTGTTTATGTTACATGCATTCTAAATAATTCTTCAGCAAAAATAAATAAAACAAAAAATAGAATATTTTCAATTAACAAACAAAGCGCAAATATTTATTTTTTCTTGAATAGCAATAAAATAGAAATTCTTTAGTTATGCGCAAAAACACATACAGAAAGAAATCAAAAATAATGATAACGTTCATTAGTGATAATTCAATAAGTAATAAACAAAAATTTCCCCTAGAAAAGCAAGCAAACATTTACAGATGTAAACAAAGCAAAAGATTAAAATAAAAAAATACTGTTAGTTTTTGTTTGTTTTTTTTCACTTCAATTAATATAAGCTTCATTCATGAGCTGAAATATATATATATATATATCACACATTTATAAAATAAGTCATAGCAATAAAAACAAAAATAAAATAAAATAAAATAAATATTTTCACATATAATGACTATCAGATGATGGATCAGAAACAATTTGTTGTAAATCATCATGTATAGCAGATACTAAATTTTTCGTATTTACAACACCTTGTTTAGCCAACATATATTCATCATGATAATCATTACGTTTATTTAAATCTGATTGATTTAAATGAAAGAATTCATCATTATTATTGTGTCTTGGTGTCCATTCACTGTGTATTTGTACTCGTATACCATTTCGATTTTTAGGTATTGTATCAATATAAACAGCATCATTGTCAAATCTATGTTGACGTTGTCCAATATGATCACGATTAGGACGCATCATAAATTCGCGATCAGTTTCAATACGTATACGAGCTTCACGTCTTGGAGTATCATAAGGCTCCATCGTTGTTGTTCTTTCTCGGTCCATTAATGTTGAATCATCATATAATGACGGTGGTTTTGGATGAAAAGGTGATACAGAATAATGTTTTCTAATATCATTATCATCTGATGGATATTTAGGTTTAAATACAGCAGGCATAGAATGTTCAATACCATGTGTACGATCACCAGCTTCATATGGATCATAATAAAGACGTATAAGATTAGGATCAGGACGTTCAGATACTTGTGGTATAATAGGTGTATGATAAATTTGTTCATTATCATTGATAATACGTGAGTTTCTTGGATCATAAGATGTTGAATGACTACGACGTCGTTGTCGACGTTGTCTTTGTTGTTCATTTATAGAATCTGTAGTATATGGTTGATTTGGTTCAGCTTGATCAAGTACTTCATCTAATAAACGATGTAATCTTGTTCGTCCTGCTTCAGTATCAGATGGTTGCGGTGTACGACGTATTGCTTGTGTTGATGGAGTTTGTTCATACATATTCGTATCATTATTTGGTGGAATAGAAGCATTTGGAAGATGAGATTGAAAAACTGGATTATTATATTGATACGTACGAGAACGATTTGTAGCTGAAAAGAAAATAAAAATAATTGATTGTATTTTCAAGAGATAATCATATTGATTTTTTGTTGATGAAAGGACTCTGTCGAATAAGGTGATTTATTCAGAATTGAGAAATTAAATATAACATGTTGTAGAGCAAATCGAGGTACATTGAATAGTATACAGTAATTCTTATTTTCATAAGATTTTGCAGGAATTTGAATCAATTTATTGATAGGCAACTATGCATTCGAAGTATGATCATTTACTGATCATTGTGGCTTTTGGTATCAGTCAGAAGTGTTTGTAGAGAAATTTGTTTCTATACAATTCTGTAGAGATTTTCATAGGCTACTAGCTCATACACACTTAACATCTTTGATCATTCTATTTTTAATAGGAAAAACATGTAACTTTTCAATGTATTACCATCATTTTTTATTAACGGTGAGTCTTGATGTCTTCAATAGTGTCAACCATAGAAGACATGACCAGACACCAAACTTTCTTAGACATTGTGCGCGATGTAGAGCATTATAAAACATACTATTTAGAAGCTCTTCAAAATTTGTATATGATGCTCAAAATTGCCTTGTATTAAGAAACCTTAATCAATTTTTCTTTTTTGAAATACTGTATTTCGACATATGGACTATCAAAAGTTGATTTTTGGTGCGAAATAAACATGATATTCAGAATCAATACAACAAACTGCATTGTATAGTTTAAGTTTTAACTAAACATTTTTCCGTCAAAATTCGGCTTGTGGTAGACCACAAGACTAAATTGTGGGAAAAAATGGCCGAGGATAAGTATTGATCGAATTTTGGCGAGAAAATTTTTAGTTAAAATATAAAGTATTCAATGCAATCTGTTATGTTGATTCCGAATATCATGTTTATTTTACACCAAAATCAACTTTTGATAGTCCATATGTTGAAATACTGTATTAAACGAGGATATTTGATTAAGATTTCTCAATGCAAGGTAATTTGGGACATCATATACAAATTTTAATGAATTTCTAAATAATACGTTTTGTAATGCGCTACATCGCGCACAATTTCTAAGAAAGTTTGGCATCTGATTATGTCTTCTATGGTCGACCCTATCGAAGACATCGAGACTTATTATTAGTGAAAAACCGATGGTAAATCATTGAAAAATATCATTTTTTTTTCTATCAAAAATAGAATGATCAAAGATGTTAAGTGTGTATGAGCTAGTAGCCTATGAAAAGCTCTACAAAATTGTATAGAAACAAATTTTTTTACAAATACTTCTGACTGATACAAAAAGCCACAATGATCAGTAAATGATCATACTTCGAATGCATAGTTGCCTATCAATAAATTGATTCAGATTCCTGCAAAGTCTTATGAAAATAAGAATTACTATATAACATTCGATGGACTTCGATTTGTTCTACAACATGATATATTTAGTTTCTCAATTCTTAATAAGTCATCTTATTCTATAGAGTTCTTTGAACATGAAATTAATTATTTTAATTTATTTTACTTACCTGATGATGTTGTTCTTGGTACAGATAAGTTATAAACTTGGTCAAGATCATTTAATGGATCAGCATAACGTTGCTATGAAAAGAAAAATTTTCTGTTTTTTGTTTGTGTGTTGTAAAATAAAATTTTCATTTACTTCAAATTTTTCTTGTAAACGAAGTTTATTTCTCCAATGTTCAGCATCACTATGATGACGCATTTCTTGCATTGGTATATCAACTGACACAGGATATTGTGAAATATTATTTGAAGTTCTTTGTAATTCAATCGGTGGTGATCGTCTTGATGATATCGTATTACCAGCTAAAACATCATTTTGAGTTAATACACGAGGATTATTAAGAGGTGTTGCTTGTCCTCGTGTAAATTCATTGGAAGTTGTTGCATAATTCTATTCAAAAGAAGATGATTTATTATGTATGTTTTTTTTTCTTTCAAAACTTGACTTACTAATGCTCGAGATGATGTTTGTGGAACATTGTAAAAAGCCTACAAAAAATGAAAAGTGCTATTAGAAAAAAAATATATGAAATTAATTTTCATGAACTTTACTTCAGCAGTGCTTTGATTATTTCCTCGTTTCTGACATTTAGAATAAATAAAATAAGATAAACCAATAAGTAATAAAACAAACGCTATAGGTCCAAGAACAGCACCGATTATCCATAATTTATTATCAGTTGTTGGAGTTGACACTTCAGGCAAAATACTTGGACTTTGTATAAAATCACCGACAATTGGAAAACCCAATAAACTGCTTCTTTGATTTTCTGTTAGTGTGTCAGTGGCTATTTTAACAGCAGTAGCTGATACTGCATTATTTGTTGAACTAGTCACCGTATAATATACCCTATATGTTTTCGGAAAAGTGTTAGGATCAGAAAGCTAAATCAATAAGAAAAGTAAATTCTGTCAATAGATTAAATGAAGAATTCTATTTATTTACCAAAACTATAGAAATTATTTGAATAAGATAATTCTGAACTGTCTGACGTTTACGTCGTGATGATTGTAAACATTCTGAATTGGATGGATTATTGAAACATAGAAAGCCCAAATTTATAACGGCAAATAATCCTTGTCGAAGTTCTTCTTCGTGAGTTTTATTATTTCGATCGAAAGGTTTTGTGCTAGGTACTCGGAAATCTATAATAAAAAAAAGTGAATATTCTTTGAGGAATATATTAATAAATAATTACTATATACCTGTAAATATCAAATATGTTGGTAGAAGTGTGGTTGTAGTTGAAGTATTTGTAGATGTGGTGACATTCGTACTACTTGATGTTTGTGAAGTAAAAGCAGTTGTAATTGTTGTATTTGTTGTATTAACAGTGGTTAATGTAGAAGTAATCGTTTGAGATATTGTTGTTGCTGTGACTACATTTGAACTACTTGCACTAGACGTCAGAGTCACTTCAGTGGTAACTGCAACGGTAGACGTTGGTGTACTACTGACAACTGTTACATTTCCAATAGCACTTGAAGTTAAGGTAGTACTGAAGAAGCTTGTTAATGTAGCGGTACTTGTTTCAATGGCTGTCGATTGTGTAAAAAGGGTTGCTGTAGTGATAGCTGATTGAGTTGAAGTTGCTGTTTGTACACTTATTTCTAAAGTAAAGAAAAATGTTAATCGAGTAAATATTGAAATTAAAAAAAGCAAAATCTCGGAATTAAACATCTTCGAATTTGAGAAAACGAATATTATTCGCTTTTTCATTATTGTTACCTGAATACGAAGATGATGGGAGACTTGTAACTGTTGCTTGTGTTTCAACATTTGAAGAACTACTCAAAACTGATATGCTGCTTGATAATCCACTCTGTGTTGTATCTGTTACTGAAGAACCTAGAGTAGACAATATATCAGTATATATTGAATTAGTGAAAAAAAGATATACCTGTAATTGTTGATGAACCTTGGGTTTGTATAATAGATGTTACTGTTGCACTAATTCCTTCGCTAACAGACGTTGCAGATTGGCTAGGATATGTCGATTGATACTGTGTTGATAATATATTCGAACTGCTCTGAGATCCAATACTCATAAATGTAGAGGAGCCTGATGACAAGCTGGTTGCTTCGCTAACAGAAGAAGTCGATGGAATCGAAGTCGAAAATACGGAAGCAGTTGATATTGCTTGAGATGAAGGCATTGATTGTTCCATAGTATTAGTTATCGTCATTAAGGTTGATGTGAAGCTACCTACAGTCTCAGTGTTGAATGAATGACTGCTGCCAATTATATTTGACGACGCTGAACTACTGATTGAAGCGGCACTGTTTGAACTCAGAGTAATAGTAGCATCTGTGTATGAAGACGTTTCAGCACTGATCATAGTGAACGAATGTGATGCCACAGTCGCTGTACTTGCTGTTGAGCTACTACTAATTGTTTGACTTGTATCCGTGCTCGACGAAGAAAATATACTACTGGCAGTTTCTTGTGAGATACCTGTATATGACGATGATTGGCTGGGCAACGTAATATGTGAGATTGATGCAATAGTTTCGGTATTAATTGTTGTACTGCCACTTGATTGACTTGTTTCCGTTCCTGCCGAGAAAGATGTGCCAGAGCTTGTTTCTTGTGAGATACCTGTTTGTGATGATGGTTGGCTGGACAACGTAATGGGTGAGATTGATTCAAGAGTAGCAGTATTAATTGTTGTACTGCCACTTGATTGACTTGTTTCCGTTCCTGTCGAGAAAGATGTGCCAGAGCTTGTTTCTTGTGAGATACCTGTTTGTGATGATGGTTGGCTGGACAACGTAATGGGTGAGATTGATTCAAGAGTAGCAGTATTTATTGTTGTGCTACCAGCTGATTGACTTGTTTCCGTTTGTGTCGAGAAAGATATGCCAGAACTGGCTTCTTGTGAGACACTTGTATGTAGTGATGATTGACTGGACAACGTAATCGGTGAGATTGATTCAAGAGTAACAGTATTTATTATTGTGCTACCAGCTGATTGACTTGTTTCCGTTTGTGGTGAAAAATATGTACTAGAAACAGTTTCTTGTGAGATTCCTGTTAGTGAGGATAACTGACTTGATGATATGAAAGGTGAAATAGATGGAAGAGTAGCAGTATGGATTGTTATGCTGGCAGTTGATTGACTTATATCCGTATGCTGTAAGGAGGACGTGTCAGAGCTAGTTTCTTGTGAGATACTTGTATGCAACGATGGCTGACTTGAGAATGAAATAGATGAAATTTGTGTCGCAGTAGCTGTGTTTTCTGCAGTGTTGTCAATTGTTCGGCTTGTATCCGTATCCAACGATGAGGATGATGTATGGGTAACTGATGTTGGTGATACTGATGAATCAATTGCTGTTGAAAGAAAAAAAGATGTCGTAACGATATAATTCAGGGACGTGCTACTAAATGTTTCACTTGTGTCTAAGTGTGCTGACGACGAAATGCCGTTACTTGTTCCTTGTGATACCTCGGTACTTGGTAACGATGAACTTGTAATCGTTAAAAATGTAACAGGTATCGAAGTGGCTGTAGGTAGTGACGATGATGTGTCAGTACTTGTTTGTTGTGATATATCAGTGTGAGAAAATGATTCACTTGTGAATGTTGCATAGGAAGGTTGTGTTACAGAAGCGGTATTGATTGTTGTGCTTTCAACATTGTCACTTGTACTTATGTGTAGCGATGCAGATGGCTGGTTTGTAAATGTAACGGCTGAAGCAGATAGCATCTCAGTATTTGTAGCTGCACTACTAGCTGTCTGTGATGCATCCATGTTCGTCGAGGAAGATATATGGATGTTTGTTTCTTGCGAAATATATGTATTTGAAGACGATGGAGCTGTGAATGTAATAGGTGAAGTTGATGTAGCATTATTAGTGTATGCTTCAGTGTCGCTGATAGTCTGATACGTGGTCGTATTTGCAAACGAAGAGGATAGACTGGTAATTATTGTTTCCGATGTATCTGTATTCATCAATGATTGAGTTGACATTACTGTAGTAGAATGTACTGTTTCACTATTAATTGTTTCACCAGTGTTCATGTGTGAAGATGAAGATGAAGATGATACATTGATAATGGTAGTTGGAGATGTATCCGTGTGTGATGATGATTGAGCTGTCGAAACAGTAATAGCCGTTACACTAGTAATCGTCGATACTGAGTCTGTAGAGTGTGACATAGACGTACTAGTGTCGAGTGGACTTGCTGGCATTGAAATGTATTCGGATGAAACCATTGTGCTCGTCATCAAATTTATGGTAGACTGCTGAGTATTTGTTGAAGTATCTACGGTGGAAAGAAATTGTGAATCAGTTTGGATAATACTCGTTGAGGTCGTGCTAAGAACTGTGAACATTGAAGACTCAGTCAGTATTGGAGTCGCGCTGATGCTATCAGAAGTGTTTGTTGATGATAACGATGTCGTAGATGGCATGATTGACGTTAATGATGAGGATTGAGTGGAAATAGATGATTCACCAATACCAGTAGTAGACGAAACCAATGTCGTTACAGTTGTATCTAAAGATGTTACTGATGAAGTCATGTTAGAGTACGTCAAAGTTGATAATGAACTTGTCATTGAGCTCATATCAGTTCCAATATGTAGAGAATCTGAAGTACTTGTTATTTCATTATTCGATGGACTATTATTATTGCTATTCGTTGATAAAGTATTAGTATCACTTAGAGATGATATTGTTGATGGATTTGTAGGTGATGTTATGAACGTTGTTGAATTTGTAACACTGGTATCTGATGATGTCATTATAGTTTCTGATCTCGGTTCTACACCTAAAATCAAAGACAAGAAGCTATCAATAATTTCAGATCATGTCGTATCCATAGAAAATGAGATTAGCCGTGTTTTCTTGTTCGATGCAGTACAATAAGAAACTTGATTTTATAGCAGAAGTTAGTAAAGCAGAATAAAAGTCAGCATAACACATATATTTATAAGAGTAACTCATTATTGATATTACAGCAGAATGTATCAATGGTTAATTGCTATATCAATCGATACAACATATATTGACTAAAAATAATTTTTAAATTATATAAAGAAGAAACAAAAAAATACAAATATATATATATATATAAATTAGTGTTACATAAGACGAAAATGAAAACAAAATCAACGATTATAAATACGCTCAGAAAAGAATTTATTCCAAATTTTCTTACCCGCCTGTCGTCTCACTAAATAAAATAATCAGAATTATAATTCTCTTTAAAACTATTTTCTATATATATATATATATATATAAATCAAATGAACCTATTATAAATTATCCAACTATGCATATAATTACACAACTAAAAAAAAGATATATACCTCGGATATGTGCTTCAGATAAATCTTCAGCTAAAGAATATTCTAAATAAACAACAAGAATTATTACCAAAAAAAACAAAACATTTCTTAACTAATTATTTATTTATACTAACGATAATTTTTAACATTATAAATACTGAGTGCATGCAAACCACCACAACAATCAATTGTCATATCATTTAAATTTCTATTACATGAAATATTGCATAGAATAGAATTCACAGCTAGTTGATTTAAATAATTTCCACAACGACATAAATTACTAAAGAAAAAAAAGAAAGAAAATTTTAATCGCACATTAATTTTTTTTTAATGTGCTTAATTGAATCAAATACAACTCAATAGATTTCTATTTAAATAGTAGATTTTACCCATTGATTATGCCTGCATAATTATAGCTCGTAGCACACTGTGAAATACATTCTTCAATCGAGTTCACAACACCCATCATTATATCTAAGGTTATATCATCAAAACAACCTTGATAACCAACTATAGTATTCAAACATGTCGAATCTAGAAATATATTGAATTCTATTTTATTATATAAGTAAAATATTTTCAATATAAACAAAAAGAAAATACCTGTTGTAGATAAATCAATCGAGTTAATAACATTATAAACACTATTTCGATTATCACCGCCACATTTTTCAGATGTTATACATAAATAATGGCATTGATCGTCTGATACTTGACCATATTTTCCATATTGTTGTCCACAACGACACTCATTACCATATTGTATTGCTGCATACTGATAATTTTGTTTTTGACAAGCAACAATACATTGTTTAGAAGTTAAGTATTTATAATTACCAATAAATACTTCAAGATCATGATTGTCAATATGATCGATAAAACAACCCAAATATTGATTAATACCTTTGACAAACAATATTACGAAATTTGATTTTTTTTTTTTTTTTTATTATTTTATTTTCATTTCATCTTACCACATATAATCGTTACTTGAACAATTAAATAATAGAGCAAAAATAGTGCTCGCATTGCAAATGTCGATCATACCCAATGGATAAAAATATTATTTCTAAATCTAAAATAATATAGGATAAAAAACGAGATTTTTTTCTTTTTGTATTTATATCAGGCGTAAAAATAACATTTCGATGAATAATCATTCCATTATATTGATATACATAACTATACATTTTATATCAATAACATGAATTTAATGTAAGTTTTATCGATGTATTGATTTCCAGCTACCTCTCTCTCTGGCTTCTATTTATAAAAGAGAAAAAAAATGCCATTGTTCTATTAACTAAAAACAATAATTTTTTTTTCTTTCTAGATGACAAAAAAAAAAACAAGAATTGCTGTTGTTTGTTTGAAATAACAAACTAAACCAGCATTTTAACTGAGATATTTTAAAACTTTTCTATTTGCCTATTGTCCGATATACAGAGAGAAATACAAGCTTATTTATCGAAAAAAAGACTATTTGCCTTATCTTCTCATTAACTAAATTTATTATATCATACTTCTATGTTCACTTTTTCAAGCAAATATTTAATAAAAATAGTTAAATATGGTATGTAATAGAAAAAAAAGTATGTTGTAATAAAAATAAAGATAGCATATGTATGCGAATAACAACAAACCGATAAATAATCTAATAAAAATGAAATAAATTTTGTAAGTCTAATATGATCCATCTGCTATACATTACGATATTGACGGAATATTATTATTTTATTATTCTTGTCGCATAAATCATATTCCATAGTTTCGTTGATACTTTTTATGTTCTTTCAAATTCACAATTTTCCATTGAAATAACCGCAACTTTTATATACCTACGATAGACAGTTGTGGTTTGTGGATATTTGTTTTGTCTTCTTCTTCCTCTTCTCTTTCAATGTCGAGTGAACCATGTCCTGAAACATTCTTTTACTAATCATCTGAATAAGAAAAGCCATTGAATAAAAACTTAACTATATACATACTCATCAGAATAACTAATCAACAATATCAATGTCACGAAGCATTTATCTGAATTTAGTCGATCGTAAAGGCGTATGTTTAAAGAATATGTATATGGTTTTATGTGTGTACGTATGTGTGTGAAAAGAAAACGAAAATGAAAGATTATTTGCCAACATACCCATATTAGAAGATTGAATAAAAATAAAAAAAAAATGAAAGGAATTTTTTTTCATACAGAATCAATGAAAATTACATTTTGAAATGGGATCTTAACATGTCAATTATATCATTTTATACATTTATATTTATGTATTTAAAAGATTGAGATACGTGAGAACACAATGTATTATTATAGGATAAATATTAGTGAGAGCGAAATGGATGCTATTACAAAGTAAAATGATATAGTTATCGATGTCGTACATAGTCGCAGTCTTTATCCATCTAATGTCTTTGTATGTGTCAAATTTAAGATGAGAAGGATATAGGGAGAAGGCCGACCGATAATTTTTGATATGTGTGCTTGAATGAAAATGTTTAAATTCTCATAGCTATTTATAGATAAAATAAATATAGTGTGTGGTTTCTTTTTATTCACAAGAAAAATTTTCACAGTCATTTTTCGTCAGTCAATATTGAACAGGCTTTTTAATGACTTTAAATCAAATATGTATCGTTTTTGTTTTTCTTTGTTTTTGCTTTTTTCCTTCTTTTAAGTCAAAATTTACTAAAGGAAAAGAACTGAAAAAGAAAGAAGCCTTATGAAAATTTGTTTACACCAGTTGTACGATAACAACTAGAATCACTGCATGTGCACAAAGAAAAAGAGAGAGAGAGAGAGAGAGAGTGGAGAAAATACATATTTCTTTTTTTCGTTTATTTATCTAACTGTCAATAATATAATTTTATCAATCAAAACTTAAATTTATATTTATCATAAATAGATTCATTCAATGAAAAATTTCGAATGATTATCTGTATATGAATTCATACCTGCGTATTTTTTTCCTACATTTTTATTCATCCACAACGATGATAATGTCGAAAAACAACATACACTCATTCCATATATATGTTAACAAGAGAATCTTCGTGCAGAAGAAAAAAAGAACGACAGATATATCGTATTTGAAGAAAGAAAATTTCTAAAAACAGTAAAATAAAAGAAAAATATGTACCTGATGGCCAGAAGAATTTATTTATTTATTTAGTGTTTCATGCCACAAGAAAAATGTCTCTTTCCATTTTGTTTTTATCACACTCTTAATGTTTGCTTTCTTATTTTATTGGCTCATATTGAATAGAAATATTATTGCTAATCTCCTATTAACGAATACAATGCATACAACTTCTCACGGTGAATAATTGAGAGCTTAAGAAAAAAAAACCTATAACACATAAAAATTTAATTCACGTTCTATAAGAACATCCTTTCATATGACTCATTGCCTTCTCTACATTTTGTCACCATTTTGCGTTTAGTCTGTTACCATGCATTCCCTTACCTACATGTTCACCATAATTACAGCCAACCGTGTGTTTTTTATCGATTCGAGCGTCCTCTAACGAATCAGCAATTTTGAATAGATAAATAAACTATATTTATGTACCTGCTTGTTACTTTTAGAGATCATACAACACATACTTAAAAGATAATAGTTTTATTAGCATTATTAAAGAACAATTATGACAGAAAAAACAGTTTTAAAACGTTCCAGCAATGCTGTACAGAAAGAAGTTTCATCATATAATGAATTATATCAAGATTCAACATCTATTGATAAACGAAAAAATCAATATAAAACTTTAATAACTAACTATTATAGTTTATCAACAGATTTTTACGAATATGGTTGGGGTCAAAGTTTTCATTTTGCTAATCGATTTCGTGGTGAAACATTAGCTGAATCAATTCAACGACATGAATCTTATTTAACATTAAAAATGAATCTTAAACCAGGCGATAAAGTACTTGATATTGGTTGTGGAGTTGGAGGACCATTGAGGCGTATTGCATACTTAACTGGAGCACATGTTACTGGTTTAACAATCAGTGAATATCAAGTTCAACGAGCTAAAACTATCGGTTAGAATTTACTATATATTTATTTTTTTTCAAACACAACTTTCAATATGATTTAAAATTTTATCATAGGTATACCAGCTAATTGTCAATTTATTCAAGGTGATTTTA